AGAGTGCCCAGGTACCCTTAGTTTATTCCATTCCACATTAGAATGTCAGGCTAGTACTTCTTTTCCTGAAGTCCTACACATTTCAGGAGATGTTTTCTTCAAGGGATATTTGTCTATTTTAGAAAATCTTCACAGGATTTTTGCTACTTTAAAAATCCGTCAGATGTTTGCTGCTGCTCAACAGGATATGTACATTTAGACCCCAAAGACACAAATAGATGCATCAAAAGGAAGAAAAGCAGGACCATAATTCTTGATCTGGACATCCAGAGGTCAGACGTGCCTCAAAATTCAGGTTTTGTGATTCTAGAAAGGCAATGCTGTGCATCTAACAAATAACATGCAGCTCTTAGAAACCAAATTTGGTAACAGTACTGCAGCAAAATATACAAAGTCAAACTGCGGTAAGTACACACTCTAGAATCACATATGGATTCAGCTTATGTTTGACCAACAACAGTATACCAAAAGCCTACAGAAAATGTGTTTGCAAATGTTTGGCGTTTGAAAGCTTTCCATGAAGAATTACAGGCATTTAAAAATGGCTGAAATGTTACAGAAAATATCAGCCCCTGAGTAATCAAATATATACAAAACCAAACAATCAGGTTACCAATCCCTGCTTAACAAATTCATCAACTAATATGTTTTTCAGAAGAAATCATTGAGTATGACAAGTGAGTCCTTTAGGCCGCTGAAGTAAGAACATTAACTGAGCTTGCCTCCAGACCAACAGTGGAGTCCACCATGGCCTCAAAACTGTATCACTGAACTCCAAACTGTTTTTTCAGGAACTCATTTTCTGTGCAGTCCTCCAGTATTTAATTTAGACAAAGACTTATGCACAAAGGTGTTCACTGAAACAGCTATTTGTAAAACTCACTTGAAAATCATTAATAACAACTGAACATTTAGTTCAGCTGCCTAAAAAGGGACAAGTGAGGTTAAAAAAGAAGTGATCCTATATAATGGAACATAATGCAGCCATTTGGGTGTATGAAGGAATGCAGGAAACTTTACACATAAGATTAGCAGGTCAAGAGGCAATGAGACTGCACTGCATTATGCTCCTGTCCCAGTCAAAAGTGGATGCTAAGAGACCAGAATGTTAGGCTCACAACTGCAAGTAATCAGAAATAGGGGACCAAACATGACTCTTTCTCCCTTTCATGAACCTTAAATCCTTGGGGAAGGAGAAATTCCAAAAATTCCTATAACACTGTATTTCAGCTGAGCGAGAATAAATGAGAAAAGAAGGCTGGGTAGCAGCAAGCTCTTTAATCTGAGGTATCACTCTGGGCATTCAGAAAATGAAAATGAACCCACATTTTTTTTTTTTTTTTTTTTTTTTTTGGCCTGCTCAGCCCACACTGAGGGCAGGGCTGCAGCCGCATGTAGTATTGGGGGATGGCACAGCGGTCCCCTGTGCCTGTCTAAGCTTGCCTAAGCAGGCATTTTTAGACCACTGAGCTATCTCACTGGCCCAAAAATGAACCCACCTTTGCAAAGCCACCACTCCCAAAAATTGGTAGTGCAGGTTTTTCTACCCTAAGGAATCTGCAGCCTATATTTATTAGGTTTTTAACTAATTTACTGTTTATTATTTATTGGATAGTTTAACTGAGATTACAATATAAATCAAGCCTAAGGGACACTTCAAGAAAGAAATACAGTAAAGAAAAAAATTCATACATTCAACATAAAATATACAAAGATCACACACAGCTCGTTTGGTTCTCAGGAGCAGCCAGGAAGACTGAGGAGAACAGAAGTGGGCAGGGTGCCGTGTCACAGGAGGGGAAATGGAGGCAGGGTCTCCTCTGGCTTTTGGCTGCAAGTCTAGGGCTCTGATTAAAGCACCGCACTCTTTCCACACCACCTCTTCTGAGTCTTTACAGATACCTTAGAATAAATGGAATTTTCTTACAAGAAATAAAAAATGATTTAGTAATAGCAGGAATGGGCTTCAGTATTGAACAAATCTAAATCAATGTCAAAACAGCTTACAATAGCTGGATGACCTTTCTCAAATCAACTTCTCAGAGACTCCATATGTAAACACAGGAACAAAATTGTACAAGGACAGGGGGTTGTAGGAATAAACTGGTCTAAGTACTTAGACTAGTGTCTGCCACAGACCAAGGAATAATAAAAAGTGAGTTCCTTCTTACAAAAAGAATAAAGTAAAAAAAAAAAAAAAAGAATAAAGTTTCTACAACATACTAACTGCAAATTCAAATTTTAGCCCTTATGAGCCATACCAGATTCATTATTTTACTAGCTTTCAGCAACTCCCCAAGCCTTTACCAATTACTGAGCACATTAAGACTCACATAAAATAAGGGTTTTAACCAATAACAATTCCAACCATTCTGTCAATTTTAAATCACTTACTTATATTGTCTCAATATGTAATTTGACTCCTACATCACAGCCAAATACCTCTTTAAAAAGTAACGAAACTTTTTCCTCCATCACCTGGAACCAAGAAAACTCTTACTCAAATCCAAAATTACCTCAAACTCCAGATAATTTTCTTGATTTACTTCTTTTTGGAGGGTCAGGGTTAGACAAAGAAGAGAGACTTAAATTTGAACATGGAATCCCAAGCTCCAATGGCTACTTTTTCATCACAGACCATTTGCTGACTGTGTATTATATGGATATACAGCCAGGCAGCTACCTGGCCAAAGGAGAAGGCAGAAGTTAATAAAACTTATCTTTAGCATCTAAATGAGGAGTCGGAAGGCTGGATGGAAGCCCACAGAAGCCAAGGATTATATACGTCTCATCTCATTGGCACCTGGACCATTTCCACCCTTCCTTACTCAAGGGCCATTTTCAGTGTCTGTTAAAGAAACAATAAGCCCAAAGGTTGACTAACTAGAGAACTTAAGAACATAAATAAGCCAAGATGTGGACAATCATCTCTTGCAGTACTTGTGGTATGTTGTTCTGAATGTTGCTGCCAAGAGACAACTAGGAAGGTTCTGCCACTACCCATGGTGAAGTTGTATGTCCTTCACAAATTCTAACTAACCACATACTTATAATTTTATGATATCTTAAACTATCTTAGAATCTCAGCTACATCGCTGAGGTTAATTTATGTTCAGTTTCCTCTGGGTAACAGCACGGTTCAGTGGAAAAAGAATGAACTTCAGAATCAATCAGCATGGGTTATCCAAGGTAATCTTATAATGATACAAACATACCTCTCCTCATGGTTCTGCTTACTAATAAAATACATATGTGATGGTGGGTCTCAGCTGCCCCATTGAAAATAAACACTTCGTAGGGTGACACCAGTAAAGTTTTAAAAAATATAGAAAGTGCCTAAACCTGAGTCCAGTGGGTAGCAGACTCTCAACATCACTTCCCATCTCTTTCTTCCTACTTTCCACTAGATTCCAAGATCAGACTGTTCAGATTTGGTGACAAGTTTCACTTCACAGCCTTCCTTTTTGGAAACCTCATTCTTCTTAAGCACTGGACACCTCAATCATAGTGCATCCTAAGGCCTCAGAGATCCAGGAAATACAGACGTAGTCTAGGGATGGATTCTCCTTTTGAAGGCCAATTACATGTACCATGTGCTGACTTTTTAACAATTTTCCCCCTAAATTAAGCTCTTTTTTCTAAATTCTGGAGCAACTGACTCTAACCTTGTAAGCACAGTCTACAATCTCATGTCCAATTTGAGCCTAATTCTATATTTATATACTCCAGCACTGAAACACGGGATGAAAATCAAAGTCTCTCCTTCAATAAAATATGTCCATTGTTGCCACTTCCCTAAGATGATGGCTGGAGGAAATCTGGGACTGCTAACAAAGGCTCAGGAAACATTTATCCAGTCTGTTCTTTATAACTCATTCTGGTTCCTACAAAAAAGCAAAGGCACACTGCTAAGCCAGTTTAAGAGTTGTAAGTGACTGAAATGTTCTCAGGAGGGAAGAGCAGAGCATGGTTCTCCTCCCTTCTGCAGGGAGGAGATAATCAATGTTGGGAGCTTTCCAATGGCTTATTATTTAGACCTGAAAAGGAGCCACCCCTGAAGGCAAGCTTGGAAAGGCTCACTGACATGAGTCCAGGCTGTGGTAACCTCAAATGGCCAAGCAGGTTGAAGTTTATTTAAAAAAAAAAAAAAAACTATGGCTATGAGTGGCAATCAGGAGGAGGACCAACAGTAAGAAATCCCTGGTGTCTGTAGTTATAAACACAAGCATGTAAGACAGGAGTTCGGTAAGAGCTGCACCTCCTCTGGAGAGATTTCAGTTAAAAACACCTACTCAAAGTTCATCGTTGGGTACAAGACTTCAGCATCTCTGCTGGTGGCTTCCCACCCCGACCACAGCTTTCTTCTGTGATGACAGGAACTGATACAAGAGAAGAAAAATCAAAAATAAGTTTATAAATGTGTTTTCCTTTACTCCAAGCCTAAAGTATCCAGAATAAAAGGGATGGGAAGAAATTTGGAATCCCTGACCTGTTGCAAGAATCCATCAACCACTAAAATACATGTAAACTTAGATAATGGAACTCTTCAACATTTTAAGACATAAAAAAAAGACAGAGAGCAAGAGGGGAGATGAGATGGAGAGGAACACGGAGACAGCACCCCGTGTCCTGAGCTTCCGTTCTCTGGGCCTTTGAGGACCAGGGTGCAGGAGAGGGGTCCCTGGGAGCAGGCTCTGGAGAAATCACACCCGGGGAAGGCGACACCAGGCAGGGCTTGCACTCTCCGAAAGGCTCAGAGTCGGACGATACAGGTCCTCAGCGGGGGCCCGGGGAAGGGAAGGCGGGAAGGAGGGAGGACAGACTCCACCACGCGCCGCGCCCTGCCCCGCCACCCCGACCGCCAGATGTTCGGTGCCGGGTCCCGCCGCTGCGCCGAGACACGGACAGCTCGGGGCGCAGCCGGGACCCCGCGCTTCCTTCCTTCCCGCGCCCGGCATCCCTCTGAACACCTCGCGCCCCGGGCCCGACCCGGCACTCACCCGAGGCGGCCAGAGGCGAACCCAAAGCGCCTCCTACAAAGACGCAGGCGGCGAGGACGGCCGACCCCCAGACCCTTCGCGGAGCCATCGCCCAGTCCCTTCGCCCAGCTTTCCCCAGGCAGCGTCCCGGGTTCAGGCCGGCAGCGAAGCTCCGCAGCCGGCGAGCGGGCGGATCAAGTGGCCGCGCTGGGCGGGACCCCCGGGCCGCAAGCCCGCCCCGCCGTGGCCCCGCCCCCCCACCTCGGCTCGGTCCCGCCCCTTCCCGCGCTCGGGGAACCTCCCGCGAGGCCCCGCCCACCTCAGCTCCGCCCCGCCTCTCACTGTCTTTCCCGCTTTATTTCCAAACACAGAAGCTGCAAGGCGAAGCGACCGCCCCGCCCCTCCCTCCCACCCCGCCCCCTCCCGCCAGGGCTCCGCCCCCTCCCCCTGCTCTTAGCTCAGCCGCAAGACCACGCCCACGTGGGCCGGGCCCCGCCCCTCCCCGCCTCTGCCGCTTCCGCTCCAAGCCCCGCAGCGGCGCCCGCAGGCAATGAGCCCGCCCTGCTCCCGCCCACCGCGGCCCGGCCCCGCCTCTCGCCTCGCCCGCTTCCTTTCCAAACCCCGCCTGACCCGCAGCCCACAGACTGAGCGGGACCCGCGGGCGGTGGCGCTTTTGCTGCGGCTCGCCTTCCTGGCTTCTGGAACCAGGCTGGCGTGGGAAGAAAAAGAAGGGTTTTGTGTTTTTAATCGTATGGTCTTGTACTTCATCTTGCAAGCGCTCCCTCAAAGTAGCCCTTCAGGTCTCCAGCCACTTATTATCTCCTTATAGCCTCACAGTAGCTCTGGGAGTTGAGCATTATCTCCATTCCACAGCCCGGGAAGCAAACCCACGTTGTCTGGACCATATTCGCTCATCGCTGTGTCCTCAGCGTTTGGCTCAAGGACAGCACACCCGAAGCAAGAGATCGAAAATCTCTTTTTGAAGTGGAATCATGCAGGCATTGATTGAACTAAGTAGGAGTCTCTGTGAGTGGCTCCCTGTTTGCTGGCCCTTAGAGAGTCGGGGAAACAGGGCCCTTATCCCTGCACTGGAGAGCCACAGGCGTCCCCTGAGCAAAAGCTTGAAGTGGACCAGCAAGAAGGGGCTGGATGGAGGCTGGAGGGGTTCAGGACTGGCCTCTTCCTGGAGCTGACTGATGGCCTCTAATCGTTTATCCTATTGCTAGCTCCCCCTTACAGTCTGGGAGACTGACGCCTGAGTGTGGAAGACTGGGAAGCTAAGAGCAGTCGGGCTGCTCCATGCCCGGTCAGTCCTTCCTACTTTTTTATCGACTTAACTGACTGTGAATGCAAGGAAAAGAGATCCGTGTGGGTTCCTAACTAAGAAAGGAGAGAAAAATCCCAGGCCTAGAAATTAAACTATAAATTATTAATGTAATAAAACTAGCTATAAAATTTGCAGTGCTCAGTGAAAATGAAAAAGCAGGACTTTTTGTTTAAACATCACTAAGAATCTCAGCAGCAATACATTAAGCCCATTCTCATGCCCTCTAAGCATGGGGAACTCCTAAACGTGGTCACACTCCAATTAAAGGTAGTCCTGGTATGGTATCTGTAACAAACTGGTCATATGAGATTGTTGATTCAAACTATAGGGCCAGCCAAATAACTCAGCGGATTAAAGTGCCTGCAAGCAGGCACAGGGGCTGGGGGGTTTGATCCCCGGGCCTGTCTTGCCAGCCCCATCCCTGGGGGCTGCACTGAGACAGTAATTGAGACTGAGTGGGGTGGTGCATGCCTATAATCCCAGCACTTGGGAGGCTGTAAACAAGAGGATCACTACGAGTCCGATCTAGTAAATGAGATCCTGAACACCCTGTAGACTCTTCCCTAAAATACAGAAAAAAA